AACGCACCAGCGAACAACAAACTTAACCGAAATTCAAAGGCCTTGCGTGAGGGGTGTCCAGAAGCTCCCACAAGGGTACTTCGTTCACGCTCTTGCGTTGGATGTACGCCCCACTGCCTTGAGTCAAAGGCTCCGGTGAGGGTTCCCAAAGAAAAACCCCTTCGTCGGTGTGGGCTACCGCGAAGTATACCGTGCCCTAAAGTCTTAGGCACCGATTTAGAAAACGATCATTCCCTTCTGACTAGTTCTTCTTCTCAACCCCGATTAATCCCAGATGCCTCCTGTTTACGCCTGCCATCGAATATCACTCATCGTTTTACCATCAAGGCCAGAGATTCAAAAGCTATGGGACTTTTGAAGCCAAAATCCCCTTTTCACTTGACCGCGTTCAACGTCCGCACGCTCTATCAGACTGACCAACAGACTGCCCTGGCTAAAACTCTCGAAACTTCCAATGTAGGTGTATGTTGTGTCTCCGAAACACGCGCACAAGACCCTACTTTCATTATCTCTCTGCGTTCTCCTGATCCAACCGCAACCTCACTCTTCACCCTTCGTGTGTCAGGCGATTCGGCATCCGAAGCTCGCGGTGTTGCTGGTGTCGGGATTGCGCTAAGTACCAAGGCAGAACGCTCGCTTCTTGAATGGATTCCATTCAGTAGCCGACTGTGCGCCGTAAGCTTCAACGGTTCAGCGCGAGTCAACAGCTGAAGAACGAAGCGCCAACCTCTTTACTGCGCTGAACTCAAATGGACCACATCGCTATCAGCTACCGCTGGAGGGGATCAATTCAAGACTGCCGCTCTTACTGGTCAACAGCTGTGGACACAAACCACAACTTGTTACGAGCCAAGTTCTCCTTACGCCTGTCAAAAAACAGCAAAAAAGCCACCGACAATGGATACCCGCGATACAGTGTCAGCAATTCGTGCAAATCGGCATTCTAAGCGGAGCTCTCCGATCGCCTGTCAGTTCAACCACCAGCCGAAGGACTCAATGAACACTGGAAGAAAACCAAGGAATCTAGGCAGATATCGATAAAAACAACGTCGGACCCTGCCTTAGGCTCAAAACACAAACGATGGATTTCGTCGACCTCGGTTACCCTGCTGGACGCCCGCAGAGCCCTTCCTCTGGATGCCACATACGACACAGCGCGCAAATCCCTTAAACCCCAGCTCATCAAGAGTCTGAGGGATGACCGCGAAAAGTGGTTGGTAGAAAATTGTAAAGAGATGCAGAAATTTGCGGCTATTGGTGATAATCCTAATCTTTTCCATCTAATTAGGAATACCGGCCCTAGGAAAATAGGCGTAAGTGAGGTAATTAAGGAATGCAATGGTACACTGATTCACAATCAGCAACGCCGTCTTGACCGTTGGGCAGAACATTTCAGGGCTCAGTTCAAATGGCCCCCATCAACAACTTATCATTCGCTCTCCGACTCGACTGGACAAATACTCCCAGTTGATACTAGTCCTCCATCTAAAATGGAGGTTACTTGAGGAATCAGTTACCTCAAAAGGTATAGAGCCTCCGGCTCATATG